GCGGTGGGGAGGGAGGGTGGGCCCGGGGAGGGATGGGGGGGGGGGGGCTGCAGATACTGGAAGGGGCAGTTGTGCCTTTCTTCTTCCTTCTCCCCAGCTGGTGTGGGTGACTTCCCCTCTTTCTCATGTTTCTTGGCATGAGATTTCTTGTGTAAGACCTGAGCTTCCTGCTAGGTTATGCAGTGGGTTGGTTTTTAAGCCCTATCCGGAGCTGTACCCCATGGGCGTCTTCGGAGCCTGGTGCAGGACGTGCTCCTCGGATGGGTGAGCTGCAGAGGAGGTTGGTCCCCAGCGCCGGGCTTGTACCTCTTTTGGGGCTCAGCCTGCTTTTTGAAGAAAACATCTGACTTTCTAACACTGCCATGGGAGCCAGAGGCTACGTACAAAGCGGCAGGCTGGAAATGCCCCCCGTGCCAAATCTGGCTGTGTCTGGGGAACATAAAATCAGGCTTAGGAGAAGGTGTGGGTAGGTCAGGGAGGTCCCCGGGGCAGGTTTGCAGCGATGCTACCAGTTCCCATGTCGGCAGGTTGGCGCGCAGAGTCCAGCCCAGCCCAGCCCAGCCCAGCCCCTTCCGTGCGAGCGGTGCCGGGAGCAATGGATTTATTTTTAGTCCTGTGAATGCTTGCTCCGTCCCCCACAAAACCATCTGCTGCCTCCAGCGGGGCTCGTTTGTGGGTTTGGAGTCAACAAAGCCCCCCCCCCGCCTCAAGTTTTCCACTTTTTGGCTGCAAACCAGGATTTTTTCATGCTCATCTTCTGCCTCTTGCCCCCATGTCCTCTTCCCGCCATCCCACGAGTGTTTTGGATGAGAAGTTTTGGGCTGGGTCTGATCCTTCCCTCAGCTTCGTGCTTCAGTCCAGGCAGGGCACTGGGGTGCTGGGAGAGGACTTGCTCCAACCTGACCCAGGGATGTTTCCCAAGGGTGCCCAAGCCACTTTGAGGGGAGGACACCATTTCGGGGGGGTTACCAGATGCTCACCAGGCTTAAGATGAAAACTGGAGCTTAACTATGTTGAGTTGCTAATGAGCAGCAGATGTGGTGCCTCTGCTGAGTGAAAGCGAAGCTGCTGAGAAATGGATTTGGTGAGGACCAGCTCAGCTGCTCTGTTTATAAATGTGGGTCCCAACACGAAGGGAGGGGTTGAAAAGCAAAATGAGGCAGCCTGAGGCTAATGAACCTGTGCTCCCCATGTACAGAGCGGCTTTCAAGGCTTCCCAAGGCTGTCCCTGCAAAATCCTCCCCTCTGCTCAAGACCTGCTCTCCCGGAGCCCTGCGGTACCTCCAGCTGGGACATGGGGCTTTGGTCCCCACTGGAGGTTTTTGTCACCAGGGTGAGTGGCCGGGGGATATTGGCCATGAGAGAATGGGGCAAAAATCAGTTTGGGGTTAGCCACAAGTGACCGTCTCCTTCCCAGCATCCTTCCCAGCTGGTGAGTACCCAGTTTGGCAGCATGCAGCACGTCTGTCCGGCTGGGCTTTACCTCGTTTAATCGCACAAGTTCGGACTTGCCAGGGCAGGATTTGTCCCGCTGGATGGGGACGTGGCAAAGGCAGGGCTCGAAACAGGCTCAGCAAATGAGCTCCAGATTTCCAACTCCTGTTGGGTTTTATTTTGCAACCGGCTTCAAACCGCGAGGCTTGTTCTCAATAAAACAGAGCAACCAACCACACCAAAAAGGAGCGGAAAATAGACTGTTTTCATCTCGGGCTTGTTGGGAGAGCTAATCATTTCACAAGAGGGGTCACAGCATTTGGGCAAAGCCCAGGAGGAGATATTGGGATGTTTGCTCTTTGAGCCCAGAGCTTTGCTGGTGCTGGGGTTTAGCTACATGTGGCTTATTCATTGCCAGCCCTGCTGTGAGTGTCACTTTGCAATTATCTGTGATCTTTTGGCGTTTAATGAGACTTCTAAGCTTTTAGATGTGTAACTGGCTGTTTTCTGCTCTTTGCTAGGAAGCCCTGAATGGTTTCCACCAAAACAAAAACCCGCCGGTCCAGCTGTAGCTGGGATGGTCTGGTGACTACTCTACATGCATAGTCAAATAGTTTCATCCTTCATCCAGCACCAGCAAGGGCTGTCGTGGGCGTTTGCTGACTAGCGGCGAGCTACAGCCATGCTGGGTGGGTCTGGCAGCCCCTCCAACATCACCCAGTGGGTGCCACTGACAAGGTTCACAAATGAGGGCACCCCCAGTTCCCATCCTATAGAAGAACCTCCATCAAGGGCTTCCTCCTAGGCTGAGACTGCAAACAAGGAGGGTACAGTCCAGGCGCTGGGTGAGGAGCCTTCATTTGCAGGAGCCACATGGCCAATGGCTCCGGCTGCGTCTGGAGAAACTCAGCAAGCCCAGAAGGACACGGCATGTGAGTCCACCTTGGTGGGATCTCCCCGAAAATGAGACTGCCTTACTTGGGACTCACTGCCCCAAACTCTCGATATATTCCCAGCGCGCACGCATCCTGGGCAGCATCCAGAGGTCGAATGGCAGAGGGCTGGGGCGGCGAGGCTTGCAAAAAATGCCAGCAGGCTCCATCGTGATGCCTGGGAACCAGATCCGTCAGCGCTGGCATCGCTTTGACCTCCTGTACCATGTCAGCCTGAAATGCTTATCTGTTCTCAGGCTCCGCAATCCTCCCTGCCTCCACCTCCCCCTGGGGCTGGCTGCACGTCCCAGGAAGACAAGCCCAGAAAGTCCCAGAAAACTGAAGAGAAAATGGCCGGAGACCAAAGAATTACGCAGAGAGGATGGTGACGTGGAATACAGAACTTTTCTTGCAGAGAAAGCTCAGGGCTTTCTGCAGGTGAACCGTCACTGTGGTAAGTGTGCGGGCTCTGCAGCGGTGGCAGGAGGAGGAGGAGGAGGAGGTGGTGTCCACCAAGTTGTTTTCTGGAGCTGTCAGCCCAGAGCTCTTGGCCCAGACCCAGCTATAAGAAGTGCAACGGCAGAAAAATCCAGTTATTTTCCTGACATTTTTGTAACAATTCAGGGCCAGCACTGGTTTTCTGCTGAAATACATCAGCAACTTGGGGTTTTTTTTGCAACTAACCCTCAGTAAGCTGAACCCTGGTAGACGTTTGCTGAGACTCTCGAGGACATCGATCCCAGAGCAATCAAGAGGCTCCGAGATGCCTGAAAAAGCCTTCCCTCCGATGACTTTCTCACCGCCGTTCTCCGGATGTTCCCTGGGAGTAGGTAAATTAAGGATCCTTAAAATCACAGCTTTTAAGAGGCAATCAGTGCTCCTCTCGGCAGGGAACGGTGTTCATTAACAGTCGTGCAGGTCCTCCCGCTGAGATAAACACCACGTCGGGTGGTGCCTCCTTCCAGCAGAAGACATCTTTGCACGCAGAAGGCAGCGCGCACAAGCTGCAAGGATGAATTTTGGAGGGCTCGCAGTTGTATCATCTATACAGATGCACAGACATGGGAAGATGGAAATAATCCCCTGCTCCGTGTCTAGACCAAGCGGGGCTTTGGAGGTACCGCATGGCTCCGGTGGGATGTTCCCAGAGGACCACTGCATTCCCGCAGCTCCCGCTGCCATTTTTCCCCAAGGGAACAGGACTGCCGGAGGCATGGGAGAAAGGAGCTCTTGGAGCCTCGGTGTAGTTGGGTTTTGGAGCTTATTTATTCAGCAGCTCCTTATAGCCTTCACAAATGGATGCTGCTAAGTACAGAGACGTGACCGCTCCGGAGCTCAGTTATTTACAGCTCACTGCAGCTGACTTATGCCCCCTCCATCAGCAGGGCTGAGGGGGAGGAAAACCTTCTGGGATGAGAGCCAGGAGATACTAAAATCCCTCCCTGCTTTTTTTTCCCCCCTTGTTGTTACAAACCCTGAGCCTGTCCCAGCCTGATGTGTCGATAAACCTGGTTTTGGGGGAAATCTGGGAAGCAGCAGGGAAATATCCATGGGTTTAGGTGGGGACCATGTGGAAACGTCGCAGGAGCTTCTGCTCGCTTTGACATTAAAATGTGCATTTAAAGCTAAAACTAATCTGCCCGGCCAGCTAAAAACAAAAGATCTTTCTGGCCTCGCTGTGCCCAGCTCCGTCCTCGCAGCATTTACACAGCGGGCTCTGTTGAGCCTTGCTCCTCTTGGATGCTCTTTGCCTTTGATGTATAAAACAAAAGAGCCCTTCACAATGTTAAAAATCAGATGTCCTCGTGAAATGTCTCAGTCACTGGCTGTTGGGTCTGGGGAGAAGGATTTGCAGACAGACCCCACGTGTAGGTATGGGAGATGCGGTGGGAGAGACTTCTTCCAGGCGCATGGTCTGCACCGCTCCTTGGGTTTACCAAGCCAAGCTTTAGCTGTCGGCACCTGCGATCTTCACCGCTGCAGAAGGCAGGTCCTCATGGGGAAGGCAGAGCTCCTGGAGAACATTGTGAAGAGCTGCTGGAGGGGAAGAAAGGGGGCGATGGGCCTGTGAAGGACTTTCAGAGCTGAGACAAGAGGCAGGAACAAAATGCAAGCGTCCGGGTCACACGCTCGGGGATGACGAAGCCCCTGTGCTGGCTCTCTCCTGGCTGCCCACACTTGTACTCAGCCCACGGCCAACCCGGCAGTGTCTTTTGAGCCGCTTTGATTGACTTCAAGTTCCCTGAGGTTTTGTTTTCATTTGCTTTGGGTTGTTGTTTCTTTTTTTTCTTCTTTTCATAGCAGGGCTCATTTTTGTGCTGCCTACCAGATAGAGGTGGCTTGCAGCTACTCAAGCAGGCGTTGCAGCCAATTTGCGGTTCTCACTTGCTTCAGCCCCATGGTTTATTTAGTGTTTCTCCTCTCTCCACCCCAGGTGGAGCTGCCTGTCAAGGTGTTTGCCTCTAGGTCCGTTCTGCAGGAACAGCTGCGTGGTCGTCAGGAGATGTTTGGGCATCGCTAAGGAGAGTTGGTTTTGTGGTACAAGTGATGACTTGTCTCTAGGCTCATCCCTGCTAATTGGGAGCGAGGAGGAGCGAAGCCAGCCTGGCCATGCTCAGTTACCTTCTGCTTCTCTTTCTTCTTGTGCTGTATCGCTGTTGAATTTTTTTAAAGCGGCTTTGTCTTCCTCAATTTCTCTCCACACTTTGTGTCTCTCACTCTTTTCTGCCTGGCTCCATTTCCTCCTTTGCTCCTCAGTCCCCTTCAGCCGCTCATCCGGCTGCTTTTTAATCTGTTCACCTCCCCTGCTCTCCTTTCTCCCCTTATGCAGCTCCCTCCCGCTCCGCACTCGACACGTTCACCGGCGGCGTTTTCTCTGCAAGTTGTTTGTCCGGCCGCGTGATGGACGTCACGTTTGCGGGGCGCTTGTCCTTCACAGTCCGGTGCACGGTCTTCACCGAGGGGTGACCCCAAGGGGTGGCACCTGAACCTCCCTTGGATGCTGCTGCTCGCTCAGCCATGTCGCTTGTTCACTTGATTCATCCGGATTTGAAGGGATGGGAAGGGGAGAAAAGTCTCCCAGCCATCAATCATCTGTGAGCTTGTTTGGACTGAGATTTACAGTCCAGCTCTCAGGTAAAATTATTGCACCTTCCCTCCTCCTCCTCCTCTTCCTCTTCAGTGCTTTGCTTCAGCATCCCACACCTTCCCATTTCGGAGCAGGGCATGTCTCTGGCCGAGGCCGTGTTGCGGAGGTGCTGTAGGGTGAGTCCCTGGGTGGTATCAGTTGGGGAGAGCTTTAGGTTACGATAAACTCGGTTGTATTATTGCAACGGTGAGGGTTTAACGATCCTTAACTCCCCTCCCTTGGCTTCATAACTCACATATTGTCTTATTTCGAGCCAGACCGAAGCAGCTCCCACGGTGGGAGGCAACGTGGGAGCCCTGCAGCCATCCAGAAACCTCGCCCAAGGGTCTGGGGGCCCCTCGCCACCCAAATCCTGACCAGCGGGTCCTGAGTTCCCACCCATTCCCATAGGGCGTCGGTACCTAAGCGCTCCAAGGATTTGGAGGGGGAGCTACAGAGAGACCGCTCGAGGGCATCCCTCGGGCAAGACCCGTTAGTGATGTCTCATGGCTTTCATTTGCAGACCGCTAAATTCTGGTTTGTTAAAAAAATAAGATAAAAATAGATATAAAGCCCCAGTCTTTTGCACAGAGTTGTTCATGCATAGCAAAAAATAGAGCTGGAATGTGATGCCTGCCTGCAATGTACTCCAGGAGCTGCAAAAGCACTAGCTGGCACTTTAGGACCAAGGGAAAGATATTATTTATAGCCAGGCTCAGTAAATCATTCCTCCGAAGGTTTGGTTTTGGTTTTTTGTTTTTTGTTTGTTTTTTTTTTTTACTTTGAGCCTGCTCCCTCTTCCCTTCGTAGCATTACTGTCCTTTTCCCTCTCCGCTCGCTAGCAACATCATTGCAGTCATTGTGCACAAACTTGGAGGGAAGTAAGCAGCGTCTCTTCCTTCTCTGGTCCCAAACCAGCAGGTACTGCTAGCAGGGATGCCTACCCAGAGGTGAATTAAATTAGCGCCATGCAGCCAGAGATGAATTTCACTGTGCTTCTCCCTGCCCTCCATCGGAGAGGGATACTTCATAGATTCATTTGGGTTGGAAAGGACCCTTAAGTTCATCGAGTCCAACCACAAACCTAGCACGGCCAAGTCCACCACTAAACCATGTCCCTAAGCACCACATCTACACGCATCTACCTTTGTTTCCAAGTGTGGCACCGTGCAGATAATTTTTAAGGGGTCCTTCGCTCAGCAGCAGCAGGGATCTGGCTGGGAGCCGTGGGGTTATTCCCCACCTTCCTCCACATGCTTAACTCTTTTTGTAAACCGAAAAACTGGGAATTTAAAGTCCAAAGATGTGCGTCAAGTGATCAGCAGAGAATAAACCTGTGTCCTTACTTATTTATGACTTACCTGGCATATTTTGAATAATTGATTTATCAAGCGTCAGGCACTTGGGAGGGTAATGGAGGATGGTGCTGCAGGGTCAGAAGGATGTGAAGAGGGAAATAAAACCCCGAGAAGCAATTTTTGAAGAACCTGGTTGAGAGTGGGGTTGCTTTGATGTCCAGCTTTGCTTTGGCAGATGCCCTCTGCCTGAAAAGCTGCAGGAGGACCGCACGGTGTGGGGCAAGGGGCTGTCGTTGTGCCATGACCCACGGCAGCAGAACCTAACCCCGCTTGCCGCTCGCCTGTCTTTCAGCCCATCACTTCATCGCGGCGACGGCGTGCCAGGAGGCGGATTACGGCTGGATGATCCGGCACTACTGCCTGAAGCAGTTCCAGCTCAGCATGGAGGGCATTGGGCAGCGGCTCTGGTGTGACTGGGATGAGACCGTGGGGTAAGTGAGGTCCCTCTGCTTGCCCCTCCCTTCCTGGCATCCCAGGACTGCCTGCACCATCTTTGGTTTTGGGGTGTAAGGAGGTCAGTGGTGGGTTTTATTTCATGCCGGGGAGGGGGGGGAGGGCAGAAACAAATGCGCCGTTTCGCTCTGCTTTGCTGCTGAGGCTGCCTTGGCTTCGTCTCTGCTGGGTCCAGCTGAAGGGGCTTTCCCCATCCTGGTCGCTTGTGGAGGGGTCACAAGGTGGGCTTGGAGGGGAGAGCAGTGGACATTGCCTACTTGGACTTTAGTGAGGCTTTTGACGTCGTCTCCCATAAGATCCTCAGAGACAAGCTGATGAAGTGTGGGCTGGATGAGCAGACAGCGGGTCGAAAACTGGCTGAACGGCGAGGCCCAGAGCATGGTCATCGTTGGACAAAGACTAGTTGGAGGCCAGTGACTAGTGGTGTACCCCAGGGGTCAATGCTGGGTCCAGTCCCGCTTAACCTCTTCATTAATGGTCTGGGTGATGGGGCAGAGTGTACTCTCAGCAAATCTGCAGACTATACCAGACTGGGAGGAGTGGGTGATGCACCAGAGAGTCGTGCTGTCATCCAGAGGGATCTCAGCAGGCTGGAGAAATGGACCGATGGGAATCTCATGAAATTGTAAAGTCCTGCACCTGGAGAGGAACAATCCCAGGCATCAGTATAAGCTGAGGACTGTCGGGCTGGAAAGCAGCTCAGTAGAAAAGGACCTGGGGGTCCTGGTGGACACCAAGCTGACAATGAGCCAGCAGGGTGCCCTTGCTGCAAAGAGAGCCAACGGTGTCCTGGATTAGATAAAGTATCGCTGGCAGATCAAGGGAGATGATTCCTCCCCTCTGCTCAGCACTGGTGAGGCCACCCCTGGAGTGCTGGGCCCAGTTCTGGGCTCCTCAATACAAGAGAGACACGGACTTACTGGAGAGGGTCTGATGAAGGACCACGAAGATGATGAAGGGACTGGAGCATCTCTCCTGTGAGGAAAGGATGGGAGTGTTTGGCCTGGAGAAGAGCAGGCTCAGGGGAATCTTATTAAGGTATATAAATACCTGCAGGGAGGGTGCAAAGAGGATGGAGCCAGGCTCTTCTCAGCAGTGCTCGGTGCCAGGACCAGAGGCAATGGGCACAAACTGAAGCACGGGAGGGTCCCTCTGAACATCAGGAAGCACTTTCTCACTGTGAGGGTGGCCGAGCACTGGTACAGGTCGCCCAGGGAGGTTGTGGAGTCTCCGTCCTTGGAGAAAAAAAACATCTGGATATGGTCATGAGCAACCACCTCTAGGTGGCCCTGCTTGAGCAGGGGCGTTTGGACAAGGTGAGGTGGAGCTCCAGAAGTCCTCTCCAAGCTCAGCCGTTCTGTGATTAAGTGGACTTTCAAGGAGCCCAACCTAAGCAGTGTTTGGAAATCAGGATGGTGGTCTTGCTCAATACAGTTCTGTACGTATGAAGAAACCACACGCCCCGGTGATGGAGCTTCAACAGGAGACGACCACAGCTGTCTGCTACGTGCTGGGTATCCATGTGTTAATAAGGTGGTAGATTGGGATCCCCATCACAGCTCCATTACCTCTTACTGCTCGATGGACATATTTTCCATGAGATTTTTCTTTTTTCTCGGCACTCAGGTTCTCCAGGCAGTCCAAAATGCCCTAACTCAGCTTGAAAAACCCCATAACCCACCAAGATGCCCTCAGACCCTCTCTGAGAAAACTCCAGGCCGTCCCACCAGACCTGCTGGCTCACCTACTGCTTCCAAAAGTTGCATGTTGATTTTTCATAGCAACTAGAAGGAGAGGCTGGCACGGTACGGCATGGAAGTCTTCTGCCAAGCCTCCTGTTTGTAATCAGTGTCAGGGAATTAGCCATGATTTATGATTTTGGAGAAGCAGAGATGCGGTCTGCTTTCCTGGTGGAGCGCTTGGTGGCATCCTTTGGGGGATAATGAGGGTGATAAGGGAGCCCTACTTAATGCAGCAGCATTAGGGAGAGCAGGGATGTTGCATATGGGGAATGTGCTGCTCTGTGGGGGTGGTTTTGGCTTTTTTTGGCATTTCTTTTGGTTCTTTTTTTATTGCAAACCACCTGAACAGCGCTTTCTTTGGATTGGCGCTTTCCTATTTGTAATCGGCAGAGCTGAATTTGTTGGTACCACCATGGCGTAAATCATTCTCCTGGCGAGATGGTTTTGAATGAAGTTGCAAAGAGCGGTCAGGGTTGTCCACGTGTTGGCGTGAGGGCCTGAAAAGAAAAAATAAAAACCCGTTCTCCGCTCTGAGCTGGCTTTCCACGTCGTACAGCGTTGTGTCGTGGCCTTTCTCTGGGAAAATGAAGCGGCGGGCAAAAATGAGCTCTTGCGACACAAGTGGGGATCGAGGTCTGTTGGGAATGGTGAGCAGATGTTGCTGTATGTCATGAGCGTTTTGCACAAAAAAAATAGAGTTTTTGTAAGATTTTGGTTGATTTCCTGTTTCATGCCCCTTTCTTCTGTGCCATATTAAATTCTCTATATATGCCTGTATGTAAACAGATATATATATAGAGCTAGGTTTATGAAAAGGACAGCTTGGGTTTTCCTTCCCCTTTATCAGTGACAAAATGGAGGGGAAGGTAAGAGAATGGAAAGACTGTGGGAGGTTTTCTGGTTCTGAGAAACCTCATCTGGTCCAGGGCTCCTGCCATTGCTCCAGCCCCCCGTTGCCTTGGGGGTCTCCGCGGGACCTGTCCCCCTCTGTCGACACTTTTGGAGGCACCATCCAGATGTGGTGAGTGGCAGGAGGAGGGGATAACCACCTCCCTGGGTCCTCCAGCTGTGTGGGAGGTGAGCTACAACCCCGGGGCCATCTCAGCAGAGCTGTCCCCTACCTGGGCCGTCCCCGTGTGTCCCAGGGACAGGACTTTGCTTTTGGTCCTGGTTGGGTCTATCCGCAAGCCTGATGAGATGCAATCCATCTCCTCCTCCAGACCTTCGGCGAAAGCCATTGCACAGGAAGCAGAGGTGTATTAAAGAGCTTGTTCTTTATCTCCGACATCCTGTTTTTCTTCTAAATAGCTTCTACTAAACTTGTTAGCCTTGAGGCACTTGGAGGAAATGTTGATAAACTCGCAGTGTTTAATTGGATTGGGGGAGTCCATTTGCTGCGTGAAAACACAAGGCTCAGGGTTATTGAAGAGGTGACATTCCTCTGGTCCTCCTGTGCCCTCAGGGCACTGGGAAAATCAGGTAGAAATAATGCAACTCCTGCTGTAAATAAGGTGCTCTGCAACAATACGGATTTTGGGTGGTCACCTCGCTCGACACCCCTGCTCCCTGAGTGTGCGTGGGACTCGCCATCCCCTTTTAGGAGAAAAAGGTACTGTAGGGAGATGTCCCAGCAGGAGTTGGCAGGGGGTGGCATAGGCTGGGTGGTCGCCCTTCTGGCTTTACGGGGAACGACTTGAGTTCCACCAGGCGTGAGATGAAGAAATGGACATGAAACACCTGCCTAGAGCCTGATTCCTCTCCACATCTTCCCCCAAACCAAGGAATTTTGATGCCTGAAACCTGTCTGAAATGAGAAGGAGGAATGTTTGAAGGTTTTGCGTCTGACAGGACCTGTACCATCAGCAGCATCGGGTTCGGAGCTGTGATTTCTCGTGTGAGGCATTTAGCAGGGAATTGCCCATTAGGCCCATCATTTACTGCTCAATTGAGAATGACACGATGGGAACATCTGGATAAATGAATTGTCTCGGCAGAGTTTGTAATTGTGGTTTATTGGTCCTATTTATAGGCTACAGAGTCTCCTCCCAACTTACCCTCAGAGGTATTAACTGAGCTCTTGCATCACTGGCACTGCTGCGTTCAGATGAAACAGAGGGATCTCTCTGGACCGGGAACGTTTGGTGAGGTTGGGCTTGCACCATGTGGACAGGCACCAACTCTCTGAGATGGTTTGGCCAACACAGTTGAGCTCTGCTGGCTTTCTTAGCCATGCTTATTTGGGGAAAGTTGATGGTTTTTTGATAGGCAAGTCTTCATTGGGTACGGGAGGAACTTGTGTGAGCTGTTACACGCTTTGGGAATGGGATACCAGGTGGTTTTTAATAAAATAATTAGTTCCAGAAGTTGCGCATGAACACTGTCTCCTGGGAAGGGAGAAGGGCCGCTGAGAAGTGTTTTCCCTTGGGTCACCTGGTTTCCTTCCCTCTCTTCCTCCGCAAAGGACGAGTGACCCGGCGTGGCCTCGGATGCTCCTGCTGAGGCCGTGCGTGCCGGTGCCCACTGGGTCAGCTGCCTGGGGCTGCTCACCTACCGGTCTCTCCAGCCCCTCCATGGTGTTGGCCCGTGGATCCCCGGCCTGAGAGCGATTTAGACCGAGCACCCTGGTGTTTTGTTTTCCAGAGCTTGCGGCTGCCCTGTTATTTAAAAGCCAGATGATTATGTACCTGGAGCTGCGTCGTGGGCTTCTCTGCTTCATGAGGGTGGCCGAGCTGCTTTGACCAGGAGCTCAGCTGTGCATGACTAATTATCCCAAAGATCAACTTGGCTATTTTGATTCCAGGTCCAGATTCATCGGCGCGGCGATTGAGCTGGGGGATTAGCTGCGGTCTCCCTCGGGGCAGCTATTTTTGAGGACGTGGAGCACTGCTAGCAGAGCTGGGGCTGCTGGAAGGGGGGTCGGGATGCCCACTGCTCACCCACAAATACATCAGCAGGAGCTGGTGACTTGTAGATATTTTTCCTGCGTGGTTTTGACTCACTGGCGGACCGTGGCCAGGGGACAGCTTTGCACGATGATTTTTGCACGGCATTGGTGCAGCAGCCAGCGGGACAGGGGGGATGCTCGCTGCGCTGAGGCGGTGCCGCAGCTGCAGGCGTCACTCCAGCCGAGCCAGGCACCTTCCTCCCAAATATATCCCTCCCATGGCACGCCTAAAAATCTCCGGGGAATGTTTTTCCCTTGTCGTGGGCATCCTGCGGGGAAGGAGCTCCCCAGT